AAGTTTAAGTAATTATTACTTGCTCAAAGTTACTTGGCTTTAGTGGTAGAGCCTGCATTTGTGTCTGGTTCAGTCTAAATTACCATGCTAACTCTATACTGTATTATCTTTCTTTCTTATACATGGTCATGGATATTTGGTTATGATAACTAACATGTGAAATGGTGGAGATAAACACTAAATACTAAAAATTTATAAAATTTAATTCCAATGCAAGACACCCGAAAAGAAAAAAAAATTTAAGTGCTTTGGAAATGAGCATAATAGGAATACAAATCATTTGTTCCCTAACTGCTTGGCACTTGTCTCATCATATTATACTCTACTTTAGCTCATTGGTGATATTTTTTGGTTTCTAGAGCAACGTCGATCCCAGGGATGATGTATTTGGATATCCTCAACAATTTGAAGATAAACCAGCATTAAGTAAAACTGAAGATAGAAAAGAGTACAACATTGGTGTCCTAAGACACCTTCAAGTCATCTTTGGTCATTTAGCTGCTTCTCGACTGCAGTATTACGTGCCCAGAGGATTTTGGAAACAGTTCAGGTAAACTGGATGAATAGTAATACAGATACTTCCTAAAATGAACATCTCAGTACACTAACATAGAACCTCTAAAAGACATGTTGGAAGGCATCTTTCTTGTAAGCACTGGTAATATTCAAACCATCCTTAGTTGGGTGAGTTGTTTTTTGTTTTTCATCATGGTAAGGAAGGGCAGCATCCTTTAGTCTCTTAATGATATTATTAACTTTTTATTAGGAAAATGTCTAATAATACAGAAGTAGAAAAAATAATATGGCCCCTTGTATACTTGTTACCCAACCTCAGTAGTAATCAACTTGTGGCCAGCTTCATTTAATCTGTATTCGTATTACCTATTTCTTTTCTCTCTCTCTCTCTCTCTCTCTTTTTTTTTGAGACGGCGTTGCACTCTTGTTGCCCAGACTGCAGTGCAATGGCACAATGTCAGCTGACTGCAACATCCGCCTCCCAGGTTCAAGCAATTCTGCTGCCTCAGCTTCCCAAGTAGCTGAGATTACACGTGCCCACCACCACACCTGGCTCATTTTTTGTATTTTTAGTGGAGACAGGGTTTCACCATTCTGTCCCAGGCTGGTCTCAAACTCCTGACCTCAGGTGATCCATCCACCTCAGCCTCCCAAAGTGCTGAGATAACAGATGTCAGCCACCGTGCCCGTCCCCTACCTATTTCTTTCTAGATTGTTGTGAAGCAAAACTTAGTTCCGTCTACAAATACTTTAGTATGGGTCTGTAGTGTCTGTCTCAACATGACCATGATACCATTAAGTTTTTTAATTGCTTAATATCAAATATCTCTGTCAGTGTTTGAATTTACCGAGTTATCTAAGAATCGATTTTTACTGATATTTTTAAAAATTAAGATTCATTTGAGGTCCATTTACCACAAATGGTTGATAATGACTCTTGATTATTAATGTTTTTTTCCCCTTTACAATTATGCGAGAATCAGGGGACAAATAGTTTACCCTGTAAATTTCCCCATAGTCTGCATTTTGTTGATGGAATCCCTGTGATCTTTTATTATTTTCTGTTTTTCTTGGTCACCTGCGTCTTCTATAAACACCTTGTGAGATCTAGAAGCTCGATAAGATTGAGGTATTATTTTTCTTGTTGTGGAATGGTTAAGTAAAGCTACTTCATAGGGGTTAATGTTGATCTCCATGAGGAGTGGCATATAATGTCTGTCTTATGATGTTAACCGCAATTGATTATCATTATCTTTTTTTGTTTGTTTCCTGAGGTGGAGTCTCGCTCTGTTGCCCAGGCTGAAGTGCAGTGGCACAATCTCAGCTCACTGCAACCTCTGCCTCACAGGTTCAGGCAATTCTCCCGAGTAGCTAGGATTACAGGCGTGCACCACCATGCCCAGCTAATTTTTGTATTGTTAGTAGAGACGGGCTTCACCATGTTGGCCAGGCTGCTCTCGAACTCCTGACCTCGTGATCCGCCTGCCTCAGCCTCCCACAGTGCGGGGATTAGAAGTGTGAGCCACTGTACCTGGCCCTTTTTTTCTGGGGGGTGGTGGGGCGGGGGAGATAGAGTCTTGTTCTGTTGCCCAGGCTGAAGTGTGAAGTGCAGTGGCTCAGTCTTGGCTCACTGCAACTTCCGCCTCCTGGGTTTAAGCAATTCTCCTGCCTCAGCCTCCCAAGTAGCTGGGACTACAGGCACCTGCCACCATACCCCACTAATTTTTTGTATTTTTAATAGAGATGGGGGTTCACCACATTAGCCAGGCTGGTCTTGAACTCGATGTCAGGTGATTCACCTGCCTTGGCCTTCCAAAGTGCTGGGATTGCAGGAGTGAGCCACCTCACCCAGCCGATTATCATTGTCTTAATAAAGGATTTTTTCAGGGTTACAAAATAATAATAATCTAATTAATTTTTCCATTTACTGGCTATGAAAGATCTATAAAGGGAAACTTGCCCTCACCAACTATTTTTTTTAAGTTAGAAAACTCAATTACATTTTGATCTTGTTTTGACTTTTTTTAATGTCAGTACTACGTTATGCACTGTGCTAAAATAACTACAGTACAACCACATAACTCTTATTGTGTATGAAAAGAGCTATAATTCTTTATAGCAGTGAGGTTTGGTTTCATTTGATTTGTAAGTAATCTTAGAATCCCTTCAAGGTGCTTCCCAGCCAGCTGAGAGGAGGAAACAAAGGGTCACCTGACACTGATACTCTAGTATGCCTTCCCTCCTTCTGACAGAGCAGTATAAATTCCTTTTCCTCCCCTAACTAGGCCCTCTACTTACTCTGTACAAGTGGCTTGTGTGGACCACCGTCCCACCCAGCTCTCATTTTGCTTTTAGTCCCATCATCTAGCATAACACTCTCCTTCCTCTCTAACTAATCCAGCTCTGTCTTCTTTAAGTTATTCCATCTCTGCCTTAAGGCTTTTAGCATTTCTGTTGATGCTCTTCCAAATTGAAGAGCACAGAGTCTTACACTGGTGGGGTGGTGGTGGTGTTGTTTTGAGACAGAGTCTCCTTCTGTCACCCAGGCTAGAGTGCAGTGGCGTGATGTCGGCTCACAGTAACCTCTACCTCCTGAGTTCAGGCAGTTCTCCTGTCTCAGCCTCCCAAATAGCTGGGATTACAGGCGCCTGCCACCATGCCTGGCTAATTTTCGTATTTTTAATAGAAATGGGGTTTCACCATATTGGTCAGGCTGGTCTTGAACTCCTGACTTGAAGTGATCCACCCGCCTCAGCTCCCAAAATGCTGGGCTTACAGATGTTGTGGGCCACCACGTCCAGCCAAGGTTTATACTCTTTAAGCTTTTGTCTTAATTTGTCATTCAGTTATAATTCTTTCACTTGTAATGCCTTTGGTTTTTGACTTTTCAATTAGTTACTCCCTGTGCTAGTGGAGCTCAGTTTGTGTAGACTAGCACTTTGGATTATCTGCACTTTAGGCACATAATCTACCCTTGATACACGTGGGTTAGTTAACTACACTTCCTCATCTCACTTTTTTATTTTCAAAAATTTCAAACCTACAGTAAAGGTGAAGCAGAGGTATAATTATCACCTTCATATTATATTCTTTACCCAGTTTTACTAGTTAACATTTTGGCGTATTTGCTTATCTTGCCATATGTATACTTGGTTTTTGGTTTATTTTAAATTGATAGTAAGTTGCAAACATGACGCTTTACCCCTTCATACTTCAACATGTATCTTAGATCATATATTACCCAGGCGCACTGGCTCACGCCTGTAATCCCAGCACTTTGGGAGGCTGAGGTGGGTGGATCACATCGTCAAAAGATCGAGACCATCCTGGCCAACATGGTGAAACCTCATTTCTACTAAAAAATACAAAAAATTAGCTGGGCCTGGTGGTATGTGCCTGTAGTCCCAGCTACTTGGGAGGCTGAGGCAGGAGGTTCGCTTGAACACAGGAGGTGAAGGTTGCAATGAGCCGAGATCGTGCCACTGCACTTTAGTCTGGCAACAGAGCGAGACTCCATCTCAAAAAAAAAAAAAAAAAAAAAAAAAAAAAAAAAAAAAAAAAAAAAAAAGATTATATATCAGAATAAGGTAGTTTTCCTGCGTATGTATAATACGATTATATCCAAGTAATATATCAATTTTTAATCTCTAATATTCATCAATATATATTCTGATTTCCCAAAAATGATCTTTATGACTTACCTTTCTACCCCAATCTGATACTCATGAAGGAATCACAAGAATTAAGCTGTTACCTCTTATTTTATTTATTTTATTTTTGAGGCAGAGTCTCACTCTGTCACCCAGGCGGGAGTGCTGTGTTGTGATCTCAGCTCACTGCAGCCTTCACCTCCCGGATTCAAGCAATTGTCCAGCCTCAGCCTCCCGAGTAGCTGGGATTACAGGCACCAGCCACCATGCCCAGCTAATTTTTGTATTTTAATAGACGCAGTGTTTCACCATGTTGGCCAGGCTGGTCCTGAACTCCTTACCTCAGGTGATCTGCCCACCTTGGATCCAAAGTGCTGGGATTGCAGGCATGAGCCACCGCACCGGGCGTGGCTGTTACCTCTTTAGTTGCCTTTTATTAAAGTAAAATAATCTCCCTAACTTGACACTTGTATCGCACTGAAATTTTTAGAGAGTCCAGGCCAGTTGTCTTGCACAATGTCTTTTTTTATTTGTGTGATTGTTTCCTCATGATTAGCTTCATGTTAAATGTTGAGAGAGTGTGGGCAATGAAACTACATAAGCGATGTTATGTTTCTCGCTGCACTGTATTGGGAGGTATGTGTTACCCACTTATTAAGTGATATTAATTTTGATTTCTTGGTGTCTTAACAGATCTCTCCATTATAAAGGGTACCTTTTCCCTTTTGAAATTAGTAAGTTGATTATATATTTGAAAGTTTGAGGAGTTGAGTATGGTTTCAAAGTAAATAGAATGGACTGGTACAATTTCCAGTAATGAAACAAGCTGATTTTTAACAAATGATATATTTGATTTTAAACTTACTGTATATAAATTCTTGTCTAAAATATAATAAAGATGAGATTATTTGCTACGTAGAAGAGGTTTTAGAAAAGTATCAAAAGACAGTTCTTCTGGCATACTTAAAAATGTTTGTCATTTCTTGCTTAGAACAAATACGCTTAAATTCTCTATGTGCATTATTCTGTAAATACAAAATCAGGTATTATTGATAGTTTCCAGCAGTGCCTGTGTTTTAGCAGTATCAGTTCTCATTTTGTGATATGTAGTGATGGTGTGTTTTCTTAGATTATTCAAGAGATTAACTCTAGAACAAGTTAAACTTTTCTCTCTTCACTTGGGAAAAAAATAAATTTAAGAGTAACTAGATTTGATATTTTTACTATCTATAATCCAAGATTTAAGCAAAATGAAATAAATAAAATAGTAATGGTAACATCCACATAAGAGTGAGATCCACCACCTCATCTTAATAGTATTTTTAATTGTATTCAAAATGGCATGCATGTGCCATATCATCTGAAGCGACCATCCTTCTTGGAGCCATACTACCCATCAATTACACCACTGGTTTCATGGCAGTTCTTTGCCACTAGAGTACTATTTTTACTATTAGGCTCACTCTCTTACCCCACTGCACTCTATAGGGAAAGCACATTCATTTTTTTTCTCCTTTTCCATATAGTTGAGGAATGAAATCTCAGTTTTATATACTGTTGTTTGTGGTCCTGTTGCTTTTTTTTCCCCTGAAAAATATTGTTCTGTGAATGTCACATGTTACATGCTTTATTTCATTCATTTCTTAGGCTTTGGGGTGAGCCTGTTAATCTGCGTGAACAACACGATGCTTTAGAATTTTTTAATTCATTGGTGGATAGTTTAGATGAAGCTTTAAAAGCTTTAGGACATCCAGCTATGCTAAGTAAAGTCTTAGGAGGTTCCTTTGCTGATCAGAAGATCTGCCAAGGCTGCCCACATAGGTACGTACTATAATTACACATTGAAAGTATATGTTGTACCATGTATATACTAAGAAAAATAAAATTTTTACTAGTACTTACATACAAAAGTGGAGTATGTCACTGATTATTAAATACCTGAAACTGAATGATTTATATACTGTGCATACTACCTTACTGCTGTGGGGCGGTTTTTTGTTTTTGTCAGATAACTTTTAGTTCCTTCTACTCTACCTGATCTCTTAGCCATTTTATTATATTATACTCTTACAGTCCCTCCTCCCCTCCCTCCCTTCCTTCCTTCCTTTCCTTCGCTTTTCTTTCCTTCTTGAGACAAGGTTTCTGTTTGTTGCCCACGCTGGAGTGCAGTGGCATGATGGCAACTCATAGTAACTTTGAACTCCCGGGCTCAAGCAATCCTACTGCCTCCCAAATAGCTGGGACTACAGGCATGTGCCACCACACCTGGCTAATTTTTAATTATTTTAGAGATGGGGTCTTGCTATGTTGCCCAAGCTGGTCTCAGAACTCCTGACCTCAAAATCAGTCCTCACACCTCAGCCTCCCAAAGTGTTGAGATGACAGGCATGAGCCACCACCCCCAGCCTCCATATTCTTTTACAGATGATTATTCCTGGGGAAATAAAATGGCATTTTGCATATAGCTACAGGTGTTACTTATAAATTTGCCCTTTATCTTAGAACTTGAGTGATTATAATAGTGTAAATACAGCAAGTTTAGAAGATGACAAAGCTGTGGTAGTATTTTCTATACAAATGGAATAATGACTTTTAAAATAGCATTGATTATTGTCATTATCTTTAAGGTATATTTGTATACAAAACATTTATATCAGAGTTGACAAAACTTAATTGTAAAAAATTTTTTACAAGAAAAAGATTGACAAAACAAATTGTTCGACTTAAAAAGAAAATCGATTAAGGGCTCCTATTAGTTCATTACTGATAAACACACATGCCTGTCATATGGAAGTTTTACTTTGGGACTTGTTTTGTTATATTACAAATTAATGTTGATTTGCAATCGTTTTTCACCAAAATGTCACAGTAACATAGTATTTTCTACAATCCTAACTGTATTAAATATAGTCATGGGTTGAGTATACATGTGGTTTGTGGGAGTATTTTGTTTTTGATTACCAGGAAATGATTGTGGGAGAGGTAATATTATATACAAGAAATTTCTATCTATCAAGTTATAGTCTTACCACTCATTCATAATTAGGGCATGTACTTACTTACTTAGCCTAGGCAACTTTTAGTCCTTTCGAAAGGCCTTTTATATTAGGCGAACAATAAAATAAAATTTTAACCTCTTGGTTTGTTTGTTTGTGAGATGGAGTCTTGCTCTTTCACCAGGCTGGAGTGCAGTAGCATGATCTCAGCTCATTGCAACCTTCGCCTCCTGGGTTCAAGCGAACTTCCTGCCTCAGCCTCCCAAGTAGCTGGGATTACAGGTGCACGCCACCAGACCCAGCTAATTTTTTTATTTTTTAGTAGAGATGAGGTTTTACCATGGTGGCCAGGGTGGTCTTGATCTCTTGACCATGTGATCTGCCCACCTCAGCCTCCCAAAGTGCTGGGATTATAGGCGTGAGCCACTGCGCCCCGCCCTCTTGTTTTTAATTATTGATAAAAACAGCCAACTTTGGAGTCATTTGTTCCTGTCAGTCCTCCTTAGTTTTAGATAATTTTTTTTTTTTTTT